ATCATCAGGGAAATGCATATCAAAACCACAATAAAATATCACCTTACAACTGTCAGAATAGCTAGAATAAAAAAGATAAGAAATAAGTGTTGGTGAGGATGTGGAGAAAAAGGAATCCTCAGACACTGTTGGTGGGAATGTAAATTGGTACAACTACTGTGGAAGACAGTATGGAAGTTCCTCAAAAAATAAAAAATAGAATTCACAAATGTTTTCTGAACTTAATGGATCAAAACTAAGTTCTTAAAAAAAAAAAAAAAGAGGTTAGAGTGGGAGAGAGCCAAAGCATAAGAGACTCTTAAAAACTGAGAACAAACTGAGGGTTGATGGTGGGTGGGAGGGAGGGGAGGGAGGGGAGGGTGGGTGATGGGTATTGAGGAGGGCACCTTTTGGGATGAGCACTGGGTGTTGTATGGAAACCAATTTGACAATAAATTTCATATATTTAAAAAAAAAACTAAGTCCTTACTGTGATGATTAGGACACTACTCTCAGCTGGAGAAAATTTTCCTGTCCATTGTTTTCCTTTTCCAAATTCTTGCTGCCTGCCCTTCTACTCTCATCTCTTTCTTGGAGTTTTGTCCTACTATCCTGTCTATACTGACATCTCTCTTTCTCTTTCTCTATTTTGGGCAGGTGGACTCCTAGGACACTTTTTTTTCTTTGATTACTCTACAATACATTATATTTTTAACTCTTACATATCTTACATATATCTTTTCTTCAATCTAACAAGAGATGAATGGGTGGAACACAATTGCAAATTAAATACTTATGCAATAAACTAGAGGAATATAAAAGCCAAATGGCAAAATTATAAATATTAAACAGATTTTGAGATAATATTTCCTCATAGAAGTGTTTTTTACAATTTACGTCTCATGTTCTGTAGAAATGTGTGATTTATATGAGTCACATGTTATATTATACTGACATCTGTTTATACCTTAGTTCTAGCGACTTTACTAGAACTGCAGAAAGATGTGATACATCAAATGGTTTTCACAATAAATGTAGAAAATCCTATTTAATAAACATTCATAAAAATAATTATACTTTCTCTACAAGTTTTCAGAATTGACCTACTAACTTTAAGATAAAATCTTTATAGCAGTAATGTCATATTCTAAGGATTTCTTGTCTTTTTCTTTTTTTTACCAAACATTAAAGTATCTTTTGATAGTGTAAGCTGAATTTTTCTACTATTAGAAAAGCCTAGGGTCAATTGCTTTAAAAATCACTTAAATAAGTCCAATGAGAGAAAATCTTCTAATGAAATTATTCCCTCCATTTCCACTAATTTTGCTACTTTTCTATTTTTCTTTTGTCTGAAATATATGAATCTAGAATGAAATAGATCACAGTTTAGTTGGCTATGGATTTGTAGGATATTTGTATTATATATTTTTAAATGCCTTGAATATATACATCTTCTGGGGATCTGTTTATTTTACCACTTGCACTAGTTCCTGAAACTTTAACATGATGCTCCCAAAGGGGGGGGAGGGCAGAGTTTGCAGGAGACTCAGTGCTGAAATGTCACTTCTTTATCCTCATCAAGGAGTTATTACTCTAGGCATACTGCTGCCCATGTAAGGCTCTGTGTTAGGGAGACTCCAGGGACAAATAGTTATAAGCTATGGTTCCTGCTCCATAGAGCAGGAAAACAGTGAAATGGTGATTTGTGTCCAGGTGAAAAGTGCTGCAGGAGTTCCAAGGAAGAAAGTGATTACATGGTTTTCATGAGGGGGAATTGGAATGGTCTTCAGCAGTAGGGTCTAGATGACCAGAGCAGGAGGAGACACATCTGGGGAGAAAAAGAGGCTTACAGACACCCTGGAATGAGTGTGCTGTGGTCAAGGGCCAAACAATAAGCCCTTTGGTCTGAGGTGGATCTACAGCATAGGATGGTCTGGGGTAGATCTACAGCATAGAATACATGTGAGAAAACACAGCACGGCCAGATGGTGAAGGGCACTGGGAGCATGCTCTCAGAGTCCTGACTTTATACTTGGACAATGAGGTATCACTTTGGCTGAGAAGAGGCATGTACAACATGACGTTCCAGACTGGAAGTTTATGAGCCTGAGCCGCATAGAGTGTGTGGGACAAGGGGACATGTGGAAGCAGAAGTTTGCATAGGAGATTATTTTACAATAGTATACAGGAGACTCAGGACTGAATACAAGCAGAGAAATGATAAGGAAGGGTTCGGCCACAAAAGACATAGCAAAAGAGAAATCAACAGGACTGGCTCACTGACTCAGTACTGGGGGAGAGAGAAAAGGAGTTAAGGGCCCTAACTCTTGGGTCTCTTTCTGGACTTTCCTTCATATCGGACATCAATTAATTTAGCTTTTGAGGCTCAGCATCTCCCTGTTTTTCTGTGGAACTACCTTGCCCCCAGTCACTTCACTGATGGGTGCAGGACAATCCAGTCCTTACAATCCTTTCCCCAGGAATCTAGAATTACACCTGACAACTAGAGTGGTCTCCTGAGGTATTTGCTGTGGCCATTTCCTTCCATATGAACTGGGAAGCTGAGAAAGCTTCTCTGTAGTAAGAAAAGAGAAGGAAACTGAAGGGAAAAATTTAAAAAGATGAGAGATGGAGAAAAAAAGCTAGGTCTGGGCTCCCTGGTGCACTTTAGTCTCTGCTTTCATGTGTCCCTAAAATGTAACTGCATCCCTCCTCTCTAATTCTGTACAGCATCCTTATAACACAGTATTACATCCCCCCACTTTGATTAAGCTAGCTTGGCAGGCTTATTGTTACTTGTAGCCAAAATCATCCAAACTGATAGATTCCTCAGCACAAACTCTTCACTGTCGGTCAGTTGGTGCTCTGGCTACTCTCTGAACACTTCAGCGCTTTACTGACTCCACATTTTCATACCATTTCCTTCATCTAGAATGCTTGCCCCTTCCTAATCCCTGCTGACTCTACCTGTATAAATCCTTACTATCCTTTCTTTCTTCCTTCTCTCCTTATTAAGTACTTTTTGAGTGATTCCATAGTATCTATAAATTGTAATGTTATATTTTTCCACTTCAAGTCCCTGATTTTCGTGACCTCATTGGAAGAGTAACTAAAAAGATACAAAGAGGGTAGAATGTGATGGATAGTAGGACAAAAATCAGGAAATTTATGCTCTCACATATACAAATTTAAACAATCCAAAGGACAGTGGTCTATTTGCTTACTAATACCTTTGGCTATAAAATGGGTTCAAAGAGGTAGGCCATTTGGCCAAAGCAGATATTTTAGATGAGGAAGTATATCATTCAGGAGTATCAGAGGAAAGAAGATAAAAACAGCCTCTGAGGGGCACCTGGGCGGCTCAGTGAGCTAAACAACCAACTCTTGATTTCAGCTCAGGTCATGATCTCATGGTTCTTGGGATCAAGCCCCATGTCAGGCTCTGTGATGACAGTGTGGAGCCTGCTTGGGATTCTCTCTCTCTCCCTTTCTCTCTGCCCCTCCCCCACTCATGTGTACTCTCTCAAAATAAATAAACATTAAAAAAATAAACAGCCTCTGAGGGACACCTGGGTGGCTCAGTTGGTTAAAGCGTCTGACTTTGGCTCAGGTCATGACTTCATGGTTCATGGGTTCGAGCCCTGCATCGGACTGTGTGCTGACACTTCAGAGCCTGGAACCTGCTTCCAATTCTGTGTCTCCCTCTCTCTCTGCCCCTCCCTTGTTCAAACTCTGTCTCTGTCTCTGGCTCTCTCTAAAAAATAAGTAAACATTAAAAAAAAAGTCTCTGAACAAGTAATGCAAAATACACTATTTAGTGCGACAAATTTGATTTTATAAATATCCAGAGGAGGTCCTACAGCAAATAAGAGACTGATATGGAACCCACCATTGCTTTCTTACTTTCTCCACTATGCTAAACTGTCCCACAGGAAATAAAGAAGAAATACATCAATTTTTAGATGAGACAAACATTTCACTTTATATAATTTTTTAAATCAATAACATATTTTAAACTGTTATCCATTAAAATAGAAATATATTCCAGGAACCATCTTGAACCTAATGCCTGGGCTATATTGTGAAGCAACAGCAATAATAAACTGTTATTCTCTTTTAAGACACTACAGAATATTGCTTATAAAGATTTCTTTTTGCCTCTAAAATGAGAAAACCAATCTGCTATCTTGTGAAATCTCACATAAATCTGGCACACAGTGGCGTTTACCTTCCCTTCAGCAATTGTGGCCTTTGTTCTGGTAACTTACAATGTCTCAGGAGGGGAAAATCCAAAATTGCCTTATAAAATCAGTATGAAAATGGGCAGCAAATGGATGGACACTTAATGAGCAAGATAAAGTGCCAAGAAATAGTTAATGTTTCTTTCGGCCTCATTCAAAGGAACATTCCTAAGACCCCAAAGCACTCACAGCAGAAGATTACATGAGTGGCACCGGTTAGCGCAACGCTATTGTACAAACAATGTGTTGCTGAGCAGGGCAGAAATACTGTTTACATGAAAATGGAATGATCTCTAGTGAGTACTGAAAGAAAGTGATAATTTCCATAACCAGGAAAAGCATTTTTACATCATTCCATTTCAACCGCTATAAAACCCTGAGTTGCTTTGGCAATTGCTTATCCCTGCTTTGCTGGCTTTATATCATCCTCATCTCTGCAGCTTTTCATTTACTAAATGACAGGGTTTTTTGTTGTTGCTTTGCCTTATTTTTTTCCTTGAAATTATGGCAGAAAACACTACCATGCTGTATGGTTTCTCAGGGTCCACCTTCCAATGTTCATACAATGAATTTTTGGTGCTACTTTCACAAAAGCCCAGTTGGCTTATCCTCCCAGTAAAACTGCTGAAACTATGATCAGAAAAGCTCCCCCAATAGCAACTGTAAACTAAGCACTTCTCTACCTTTATGGAGCTTTTCATTCTACATACAGTGTTTGTTATACTGAGAACAAAGCACAGAGCTGTTTCAGTGAGAGAAGGGAAATACAAAAACACTTACCTGCATTACAATGAGGAGGTCAAAGACCAAGATGAAAGAAGCCAGGAATGCTCGGGAAACTTCATCACTGGGCAAAAATCCCCGATTCAGCTTGTCCCAGCTGATCCAGTCAGTTGTAATGACAAGTACAACCACAGAAGTGAGAGTAAACAGAACCGTCCTGCAAGAAACAAGATACTCATTAAAGAACGTTGGACATAATAATATAGACAGTGAAGAGTGTGTGTTATCTGTGCTTTATTAAATGTCTATCCTTTGCCAAGTACCCTTTGCCAAGGCATATTCACCAAAATGAAGATGAACAAAGAAGTAAATTAAGTGCTTTCTTTCAAAAGCAATTAGAAAAAGGTATGATAGCATCTATCCCAAAATTTTCCCTTAAGACCATTAAGGTAATGATTATAGAATAAATAATTAACAACAAAACCATTACAAATGGCCTTGGCTAGTACAATATATGTCCCAACGAGAACACTGGTGTGTACCTCTCATTACATGTACATCATTTACTGACGGTAGCAGACATGCACATGTAAGAGCAGAAGGCAGATGGGAAATGGGCAAAATCCAAGCCTTTGGATTTTATTACGTGCTACAAAAGAGAGGGATGGCTAACCAATCCCATCATCATGCCCAGGGCCTAAGGAGCTCCATGGAAGAACCACCTCTACACATGGACGGTGTAGCCACTTCTCATAGGGCGTGTTTCATAGATGGCTTGTAGCCTAGTGACCTGTCTAGGTCATACCGTTTGATTGCCCATTCCTTGATATAAGATACTAGGGACGTGAGCTTATTTCTTATCTTTGTGGCCCTGTGAAATCTTGCATAATTGTATTGATGGAATTCAATGAATTTTTCTTGGAATTATAACAATTAACAATTAAGGTTTTAAAAAGAATCAAGAGTACTTAAATTAGTCTTTAATATTGACATTCAAATTAAATCTGAACTATGGGCAGCAAAAATTTAATATGCCAGAGAATTATCTGTAATGTAGTTAAACCTCTGCTTTCAGAGCTATATTGGTATCTGGATATCGTTTTGAATTGTAAAAAGGAGTCTATGGCCATACCACCCCAAACACACCTGATTTTGTCTGAATTATAAAAACAAAAATGAAAAAAAAAAAAACAATTACTTTGAAAATAATCAATCTAAAGAAAGAAAAAAAAGAAGAAACAAGAAAATAAAAAAAGATAAAAAAAGAATGGAAGAAAATACACGGAGGTAAAATAAACCTTAGAAGAATACCTACCCATTTTGATAATTAACAAACTTGTTTTTGCCCTCTGATGTTTGATAATAACTGATACAAAAAAACCCACACAATAATATGGACCATCCTAAAATTCTCTTTTCAACTGAACAAAGCACAAATTTCTAAATTTAAATACTGGGTTTGCCTTTTACAACCTCTTATTTGTAATATTTGATATAATGAATAATTTGATATAATTTGAAATAAATAATTTGATATAATGAATATAATGAACCCTTCCTTAGATTTCTCCCTCCGTATGAATAAAAAAAGATATATTTAAACGTTTTTGAAAAATAAAAATGTCTAATAAAATTATTTTATTAAAATTGCAAACTGTCAAAGAATTTGACTCATGATCTCTAAAATATAAATTACAGATTGTCTCTACTACCATTTAGAATATCTTTGATCATTTGTAGAAATTCAAATGGATTAATTAAGAATGGGAGGAATCCTAAATAACTATTACAATTCAAGAGAAATGAAATAGCAAATATTATACAGTCTAACATAAGAATAATGGGATTTTAAACAAATTTTTCTCCAGGTTAAATCAGTTTGTGGTTTTTGATTTTGTTTTTTTCTCTTAGGCAAGTAAAAAGTCTATATATTTAATGCAATAAGAAATCCCTGGATGGCATATTAGTCCAACAATATCACTCAAAACAAAGCTCCTTTTATCTTCCTTCTCCTCCATCTTTAATGTGACTTTCACCCTTATTATGGTAAGATGGTTTCTCTATCACCAGACATTTCATCCAGTCAGGCATTAAGACAGGAGTAAATGCCCAAAAGACATTCCAGTGGATCTGCTTCTTTCTTTTTTTAATGCCAGTATAGTTAATATATAGGGTTATATTAGCTTTAGGTGCACATTATGTTGTTCAACAATTGTATACACTATTCAGTGCTCATAATAAGTGTACCCTTAATCACCTATTTCACCCATCCCTCACCCATCTCCCCTTTGGTAACCATCAATTTGTTCTCTATAGTTAAGAGCCTGCTTTTTTGGTTTGTGACTTTTTAACTTTTTCTTTATTTGTTTTATTTCTCAAATTCTACATGAGTGAAATCATATGGTGTTAGTCTTTCTCTGACTGACTTATTTCACATAGCATCATACCCTCTGGATCTATACATGTTGCTAATGGCAAGATTTCATTCCTTAAGGCTGAGTAATGTTCCATTGTATATATATGCCACCTCTTCTTTATCCATTCATCAATCAGTGAACACTTGGGCTGCTTCCATGATTTGACTATTGTAAATAATGCTGCAATAAACATAAAGGTGCATATATCTTTTTGAATTAGTGGTTTTATATTCTTTGTGTAAATACCCAGTAATAAAATTACTGGATCATATACATGGTAATTCTATTTTTAATTTTTTTGAGGAAGGTCTATACTGTTTTCCACATTGGCTGCAACAGTTTGCATTCCCACCAAAAGTACAAGAGGGTTCCGTTTTCCCCACACCCTTCTCAACATTTGTTGTTTCTTGAGTTTGTGATTCTAGCCATTCTGACAGGTGTGAGGTGATATCTCATTGTAGTTTTGATTTACATTTCACTGATGATTAGTGATGTTGAGCATCTTGTCATGTGTCTATTGGCCAGCTATATGTCTTTGGAGAAATATCCATTCATGACTTCTGCCCAGTTTTTAATTAGATTATTTGGGTGTTGAGTTTTACCAGTTCTTTGTATATTTTGGATACTAACTTTTTAAAAATTTTGTAATGTTTATTTACATAGTTTTGAAAGAGAGATTGAGAGGACAGGTTGGGGAGGGACAAAGAGAGAGAGGGAGATACAGAATCTGAAGCAGGCTTCAGGCTCTCAGCAGTCAGCACAGAACTGGACATGGGTTGGAACCCAGAAACCATGAGATCATGACTTGAGCCAAAGTCGGACACTTAACCGACTGAGTCACCTGGGTACACCAGGATATTAACCTTTTATTAGACATGTCATTTGCAAATATCTTCTTCCATTCAGTAGGTTGTCTTTCAGTTTTTTGATTGTTTCCTTTGCTGTGCAGAAACTTTATATTTTGATGTAGTCCCAATAGTTTATTTTTGCTTTTATTTCCCTTGCTTCAGGAGACATACCTAGAAAAATGTTGCTACAATTGATGCCAAGAAGTTACTGCCTATGCTCTCTTCTAGGATTTTTATGGTTTCAAGTCTCACATGTAGGTCTTTAATCCATTTTGAGTTTATTTTTGTGTACGGTGTGTATGGTGTAAGCACATGATCCAGTGTCATTTTTTTTTTTTTTTTTGCATGTAGCTGTCCAATTTTCCCAACACCATTTGTTGAAGAGATTATCTTTTTCCCATTGCATGCTCTTGCCTTCTTTCTTCAAGATTAATTGACCACATAATTTTGGGTTTGTTTCTGAACTGTCTCTTCTGTTTCCTTGATTTATGTGTGTCTAATTTTGTGCCAGTACCATACCATTTTGATTACTAAAGTTTTGTAGTGTATCTTGATATCTCGGATTGTGATAGTTCAGTTTTCTTCTTCCTTTTCAAGACTGCTTTGGCTACTTGAGGTCTTTTATGGTTCCATACAAATTTCAGGATTATTTTTTCTAGTTCTGTGAAAAATACTGTTAGTATTTTGACAGGGATTGCATTAATCTGTAGATTGCTTTGGATAGCATGGCCATTTTAAAAATATTTGTTTTTCCAATCCATGAGCATAGAATATCTATTTTTTTGTGTGCTCTTCAATTTCATTTATCAGTGTTTTGTATTTTTCAGAGTACAAGTCTTTCACTTCCTTGATTAAGTTTATTCCTAGGTATTTTATTTTTTGGTGCAATTGTAAATGAGATTTTCTTAATTTCCTTTTTGTTTATTATTATTATACAGATTTCTGTATATTGATTTTGTATCCTGCAAACTTACTGAATTCATTTATTAGGTCTAGTAGTGATTTGGTGGAGTCATTAAGGTTTTCTATATATAGTATCATGTCATCTGCAAATAGTGAAAGTTTTATTTCTTCCTTACCAATATGGATGCCTTTTATTTCTTTTTCTGATCTGATTGCTGTGGCTAGGCTTCCTATGTTGAATAAAAGTGATGAAGTGAACATCCTTGTCTTGCTCTTGATCTTAGGTGAAAAGCTCTCAGTTTTTCCACACTGAGTTATGATGTTAGCTGTGGGTTTTTCATATATGGCTTTATTATGTTGAGATATGTTCTCTCTAAATCTACTTTGATAGTTTTTATCATGAAAGGATGTTGTACTTTGTCTAATGTTTTTTTTGACCTAATGATAATATGGTGTAGCATGTTGATTTGTTAATATTAAACAACACTTGCATCCCAGGAATAAATTCCACCTGATCATGGTGAATGATTTTTTAAATATATTATTGGTTTTTGTTTGATAAATTTTTGCATCTGTATTTATCAGAGATATCAGAGATATCTCTGTCTCTGTCTTTTTTTTAAGAGTCTGGCTAAAGGTTTATCAATTTTGTTGATCTTTTCAAAAAGCCAGATCCTGGACTCACTGATATGTTCTATTGTTTTTTTGTTTCTATTTTGTATATTTCTGCTCTAACATTTATTATGTCCTTCCCTTGACTGATTTTGGATTTTGTTTGTTTCTCCTGCTGTAGCTCCTTTAAGTGTTAGGTTAGGTCATTTATTTGAAATTTTCTTGCTTCTTGAGGTAGGCCTGTATTGCTATAAACTTCCCTCTTAGAACCTCTTTTGCTTAATCCCAAAGATTTGGACTATTATGTTTTAATTTTTATTTGTCTCCATGTATTTTTTGATTTCCTCTTTGATTTCTTGGTTGACCCATTCATTGTTTAGTACCATGTTATGTAGCCTTCATGTATTTGTGCTCTATCTAGGTTTTGTGTGTGTGTG